TATATATATATATATATTATGTATATATTATATATATATATATATATATATATATATATATATATATATATATATATATATGTATATATATATATATATATATATATATATATATATATATATATATATGTATATATATATATATATATATATATATATATATATATATATATATATATATATATATATATATATATATATATATATATATATATATATATATATATATATATTTATATATATATATATATATATATATATATATATACATATATATATATATATATATATATATATATATATATATATATATATATATATATATATGTATGTATATGCATATATCTATAGTCCTTACCCGCCGTGGTGCCCAGCCACAGCAGTAACCTCGAGGCGACAACTGCAACTCCTCGCGGCTGGGCGGGGCGCGAACCGCCGGCCCCTCGGATGTGAGGCCGACATCACTGCAATAGCCCGGAGGCTAAATGCGAGCAGAAAAGGAAAATTATATGTTCGTGGTAGTTATGTATTCCGATGCTCAAAGACTACGACTTTTTTAGACTCTTGTTACAGAGCAAGAGAAGCGTTGGCTCAGCGGTTGCGTGCGACAGCGAAATGAACTTAATGTAACTTTTGAGCTCCCAGGAATTTTCAGCTCCAGACTACATCTGATGTACCAGCTGACTATTGGTATGAAACAACGGCTGCTGTAATATTACGAAAATGTTAATAATGAGGTATATGAACAGACTTAAAGAAAAAAACTGAATGATACATATTTACTGCTACTATTCTACTACTATTATTACTACTAATGCTACTATTACTACTACTACTGTTACTACTATTATTATTATTACTGCTTCTACTCTTACTACTACTACTACTACTACTACTACTACTACCACCACCACCACTACTGTTACGGTTGCAATTAGCTCCAACAAGAAACAAAGCAGTGTAAAAAATACTGCTACTTATAATCACTGTCTATTAGTTCTATAATTACCAGTAAATTAACTAAAATATAAAAAAATATATATTTCTAAGAATCCCATATCATTGACTTCCTTTTCTAAAACTTCTGGTTCACATGTTTCGGTATCAACTATATTTTCTTTGTTAGTGTGTGCATGTCTGTCTGTGCGTATGCGTATGCATATATGCCACTGACCTTGGAAGATTTTTAATGCAAGCGTTCTTGTTCCTTAATCTGCATCTTATGTTACTAAACAGAAGGATTTTTTTTATGCACACATTGAACTGGGTGGCAACACTAGTGTCGTTTGCAAGTAGCATACAGCTAGGCCGCCAACACGCACTCTCAGTCTCAGTCTCCTTCTCAGGGAAAGAGGATCATAGGAAGTTCGTTCGCATTTTCAGGTATTTGTAAAAGTTGTAAGTGTATATTTCAGTGGGTGTTAATGACAATGGTATACAAGTGAGTAAACACACTTGTTCGAAAGTGAATTTTATAGCGATACTGTACATGAGTAAACATAATTAGGTATTAACGCAAACAAATAGAATTTACAATGAGTCGCTGACCGGAAGAAAGGCGGGTTTGATTAGTGAATAGCAGTAGCCTTGAAGCCATTATTTCATTTTGGTTATTTACGAAAAAGATAAAACGAGGGAAACTGAAAAATATAACTTGCTTGTCATTATAACTTACCACCTGAAAACTCTAAGAATTATCGAAACACATGATAGCATTAACAGCAGCCTGGAAATTATGACAACACATGGTATTATTCACAGCATGCAGCATATTACCGTACCACAGACTGGCATTAGAAAAACCAACCAAGTTCAGTATGACAGTGAAAATATTTAAAGATAATGGTAGTCAGACGAGAATGAAATACTATTCTATGTCCTCGCCTGATACTCTAACTGCGTGTTTATACTACTTGATAAATAATCCTTGGTGGTCTGTTTCAAACACGAGTTTCCTCTCATGCTTTATTTTCTATATTACATTTACTTGAATGATTTAGGTAGGATGAATATCTCTTCTTAGGAATTATATTTTAGTACATTTCCACCAAAACATCAAGTTATTAATGTTTTCCAATTTTCGTTTTACTCCATCTCTCTCTCTCTCTCTCTCTCTCTCTCTCTCTCTCTCTCTCTCTCTCTCCTCTCCTCTCTCTCTCTCTCTCTCTCTCTCTCTCTCTCTCTCTCTCTCTATATATATATATATATATATATATATATATATATATATATATATATATATATATTTATACATCTATATGTATACACAGAGACTACCCTTCCAAGGAGCCATGGCCGACGTGGAGCTGGCTGCCCTCCCGAACAGGAACGACCTCTCCCCGTCCCCCGCCGCCCCTCACGACGAAGCCGCGCGAAACGATGGCGATGACGACGAGCGCAAGACCTGGTCGTCGCCGCTCGACCATCTGGGGATCCTGCTGTGCTTCGTCGGGGGAATCGGACAAGTCCTTCGGTTTCCGTCTTATTATTTCATTAATGGAGGAGGTGCAGTGAAGGGGCGGTTTGTGCTGGCGATGACTCGTTTGTGGTGGATGATGGGGATGACTCGTTGGTGATGGATGATGGTGATGACGGATTCGTAATTGATGATGGTGATGACTGATTAGTTATGGATGATGGTGATGAATGTTTAGGAATTGATGATGGTGATGACTGATTAGTTATGGATGATGGTGATGAATGTTTAGTAATTGATGATGGTGATGAATGATTAGTAATTGATGATGGTGATGAATGATTAGTAATTGATGATGGTGATGAATGTTTAGTAATTGATGATGGTGATGAATGATTAGTAATTGATGATGGTGATGAATGATTAGTAATTGATGATGGTGATGAATGATTAGTAATTGATGATGGTGATGAATGTTTAGTAATTGATGATGGTGATGAATGATTAGTAATTGATGATGGTGATGAATGATTAGTAATTGATGATGGTGATGAATGATTAGTAATTGATGATGGTGATGAATGATTAGTAATTGATGATGGTGATGAATGATTAGTAATTGATGATGGTGATGACTGATTAGTTATGGATGATGGTGATGAATATTTAGTAATTGATGATGGTGATGAATGATTAGTAATTGATGATGGTGATGAATGATTAGTAATTGATGATGGTGATGAATGATTAGTAATTGATGATGGTGATGACTAGCTAATGATCGATCGTGATGACTGGTTGATGATTGATGAAAGTGATGGATGATGATGTTAATTGATTGATGATGTTAGTGATGATGATGGATAATGGTGATGACTGATTGATGATGAATGAGGATGACTGGTTGGTGATGGATGGCGATAATTGGTAAAAAGGATGATGGTGAGGATGATGAATAATGATTATGTTTAATAGACGAGTGATAATAATTATGATAATTTGTTATGGATGATAGTCATGATTAGCTAATGAGTAATCTTTATCATTATCATACTAATATTACCATTTAGTTATATATATAGTTATAATTATTGTATTTTTTTATCAATAACCGTGAACTATTAGATAAAGCAAATATGGTTTGATATAAGTAGTCATAGAAATGATTCGGTAAATGTGAAATCATGAAATAAATCAATATTCCATATTCCATCATCTTAAAAGTTCATTCCTTGTCATGACATAATTTAAAATCAACCATCAGTTTTGCATAAGAAAATCAGAAAAACCAAAAAACTCACTTCGAAAAAAAAAAAATCGTAAATAAAAACAAACAGTTTTATCTTACAGGAGCTTTCCTTATCGTCTATCTTCTCCTGCTGGTCCTCCTTGGGATTCCTCTCCTGCTACTGGAGTCCTTCATAGGGCAGTTCAGCTCCTCCAACAGCTTAGGGGCATACTCTTCCTATCCTGCATTCAAAGGTAAACGCGCATCGGTATCCTTCGCTCGTTCGATGGCACATACTCGTATCCATATTAGTGTCATGCGTGTGTTTTGTAAGTATATATATATATGTGTGTGTGTGTGTGTGTTTGTGAATGGCAAAGCCCTCTAATGTGTTGATACGATGGTAGAAAAGGACATAATGTAAAAAAAAACTTGATTTAATAGGAAATGAGACAACGGTTTCTTCAGGTCTGAAGAGGAAAGGAGGAGGGGGGAGTGTAAAAGAGAGAGAAGAGGGGCAACGCGGTGAAGACTGGGCATGTGAAGAAGGGTGAACGGAAGTGAACGGTCAGAAGGATCAGGCGGTCTATGGGAACTGTGGCCGGTATAAGGGAGAAGGCGGAGGATGTGGGAAGCGAGGAGAAAAGCCGCTAATATTGTTATTAAGACGGATTCCATCAGTCTGCGGGCATGAACTTCAGCGGAAGGCAAGACAATTCGCGCAGCTGATCCATCCATTTGATGTTCTGCGTCCCAGAGAAGGCAGAAAAGGGCGCTGTAGCCTAATACAGCCGCTCAGTGAGACTGACTCCTGTCTTTCCAAAGTATTGGATATCACAGAAAGCTCAAAGAACAGAGGTAGAGGGAGGGCCAGTATGGATCAGGTAGCGACGGAGAAAGTTCCCCTGGCGAAAGATAGCTTGCAGTTGAGACGGTGAAGATGGCGACGGGGAGAGTAGATTTCTCTTTAGAGGAGTCGTGGTAGAAGGCACGCCGCGCCCTGGATAACGCGACGCCAAGAACATAACGAGGGTAGCCCAGTTTGGAGAACGAACGACGAAATGAATTCGGTACTGGTGTCACAACTACAAAGGAAAAGCGAAGTGGCAACACCTCGCTGTGTCCTTCGGCCTGACTGCCTTTCGCTTCCGTTCGCTTGTCCTCGGCTGTCCTGTGTTCACTTGTTGTCTCTCCTCTCTCTCTCTTATAGTAACTCCTCTCTCTTTCCTCTTCAGAACTGAATATGAAATCCAGGATTTCGAAACTGTTATCTCATTTACAATAAATCTAATTTGTACATGGTGTTTTATATAAATATATATATATATATATATATATATATATATATATATATATATATATATATATATATATATATATATATATATATATATATATATATATATATATATATATATACCTATATATATCTATAAGCTCCCTAATATCGTCTGTTTATATATATATACAGACGATATTAGGAAGGTTATAAATATATATATATATATATATATATATATATATATATATATATATATATATATATATATATATATATATATATATATATATATATATATATATATATATATATATATATTCACATTGGTCCCTAATATCATCCGATGTATATAAACAATCCTCAACTTCAGCTTTACAAGGTTAATGAGAGGATCCTATGCTTCCAGGCATTGGAATAGCGAACTGCATAGTGATGATACTGATCGCCCCCTGCTTCACGGTGTCCATCGGCTTCTCGCTCCTTTACCTGGTGTATTCTTTTACGTACATAGACAAGTGGGGGTTCTGTGGACACTACTGGAATACTGACTCCTGTGTGGATATCGTGAGTTCATATGTTTTGATATTTGTTCGTAGCCTTTAGTGATTTCTATCTATCATTACTTAGATTATCACCACACTCATGTGTGTGTGTATATATCTATATATTATTCTCACACGTCCTCTTTTTCTCTCACAGGGTAACTACAACGAGTCTACTAGTCTACATGACTACTATTGGACTGTTCCAGCAATGGAATTCTTCGAGTAAGTTTACTGAGTTCTTCACTGAACTATTTTAACATATAAAGTGTGGATTTTTAAAGCTTTAGACTATATAATTATACAGAAAGTATTTTGTATAGTGTATGTAAATGAGACAAAGACAGCTATGTATGAATAAAGAAAGTAGATGTTATAAGAAGCTAAAGTAGCATGAAAATGAGAAAGTGAGTAGCTTAAGGATACATACATGCACACATACATATGTACATACGTACATACATACATATATACATATATACATACATACATACATACATACATACGTACGTACATACATACATACATACATACATATATACATACATATATAAATAAATACATGCATACGTACATACATACATACATACATACATACATACATACATACATACATACATACATACATACATACATACATACGTACGTACATACATACATACATACATACATACATACATACATACATACATACATACATACATACATACATACATACATAC